AAAAGGTAACGGACTTTACTATCCAAAGAAGATACAGGGATGGCAAATAAGCAAAGGAAAAAATGTTCAGTATCACTAGCCATTAGGAAAATGAAAATTAAAACCATCATAATATATCATTGCATACCTAGTAGACTGTCAAAAATTAATAATACTGATAATACCAAGTACTGAATAGGATATGAAAAACCTGAAGTCTCATACATTGCTGGTAGGAATGGAGTTGCTCTGAAAAACAGTTTGACGGTTTCTTAAAATTTTAAATTACACATTTAAATTTAAAATACACATACCATATGACTCAGTAATTCCATTTTTGTGTGTTTTTCCCAAGTGAATTGTAAATATTTTCACATAAAAACCTGTACATGAATATCTATAGCAGCTTTATTCATAAAAACCCCAAGCTGGAAACAACCCAAATGTCCTGGAACAGATGAATGGATAAACAGACTGTAGTACATACATGCAATACAGTATTACTCAGCAATAAAAAGGAACAAATCATTGTAATACAAAATAACTTGGAAGAATCTCATAGATACTGTGTTGAGTGAAAGAAGCCAGTATCAAAAGGTAAGGGCTATATGATTTCACTTTTATGACAGTCTTGAAAAGTAAAACTACAATAGAGAACACATCAGAGTGGGAGGAGTGTGTGATTTTAAAGTGACAGCATGAGAAACTTTGGCGGGGGGAATGATGGGAATTGTTGTGTATACTGATTGTGGTGGTGGTTACACAAATGTATGTTATGAGGAACTATTCACCAAAAGACTATTAACTTTAATTTTTGAAAATTTTAAAAGAATTATTTCTTTTCAGCTTCTGTTTGTTGTTGTTTTATCTTACCTATATGGCTTTAAAAAATTTATTATGTAATGTTTGGCAGGGTAGACAAAGGAAACTCTCTACCCATCTTAAACCCTCTCCTAAAGCAAACTGCCTTGCCCACAGCATTTCTGAAGGGTACCAGACATGTTTTTACAATGAAATCCTGTGCCTATGGACATGGTTGATTAGAATGAGGCAGATACCTGGAGAACAACTAATTCATAGGCTAGGCAATGGCCTCTGATCCATTTCTTGGCATGAAAAAGATGAGAAGGGACAGTAAAATTTTCTATCGCTGAAATTTCGCTAAGGGCAGTTAAGCAGGAATTTGAAAGGTTGGGATCATAACAAGCCAAATCCGTCTCAGTGTTGACCTTATGGGGTATTAGTAACTACACACAAACAGAGGAAATAATTTGAGAGCAAAACAGAATAAAGTATGGCTATTAATAGCCCAGGAGCTCTGGTAGTGTAGTGCCTAAGGCATTTGACGGCTAACCAGAAGGCTGGAGGTTCAAACGC